GGGTTGTTCAAAACTCAAATTTGCCAGCTCGTTTAGTAAGTGGAAGCAATTTTTCCCTTGAATTTTGTTCATTCAGTAGGCCAAGTTATGCAATTGCATCCAGGGCAAAGGGTGAGAGAATTTTATCTATGCAGTGAAGAAAGTAGAAAAATAGGAACCACTTTTGGTGGGAAGGTAATAGCGTTCTGTGCCCCTTCGGCATTTAGTCATGCCAGCCACATGACCACGGAGACGTCTTTGGACAGCACTGGCTCTTCTGCTTTGAAACGGAGATGAGCACCGCCCCCTAGAGTCAGGAACGGCTAACAAATATGTGCAAGGGGAACCTTTACCTGTTTTACAAAGAGAAAACATGCAAAATATCCCCACTGCTTTTTATAGCTTAACTTCCAAAAAGTGTATTTAGAGGAAGAATTATTCTAAATTAGAAATTTATTATATCACCTCTGGATTCTGTCAGCTAATTCTTCTGTGTCTCAACATTATGCCAGAAATAAAGGCAGAGACACTTTTGGGACCATAACAATGAGTTTATTTTATGTGATCCTTCCCAACTACTTATTCAAGGCACTGTCTTACCAAATCTGCAGTAGAAGGAATAAGAACATATAAATAGACCTTCCTCCTTTGTAAAGCTTAGATTATGAAATTTTTGTTACTTGGGAAATCCATTTATCGTAGACCTTCTGTAACGATGTCTTAGCATGTTGAACATCTCAAAGTTTTGGGAGGTCTTTTGGTCTGATCATTGCTTGATTTTTCCCCCTGTCGAATTCCCTTGCTTTTCTAATTTTAATTTCAGCTCACTAATTTCTTTGACCATTTTTCTGTTGTATATTAGATATTCTGATTATTGTATTTTAAATTAATCTTGTAATAGCATCTACTCATATTACTGTTGCCTCTTTTCCTTTCCTCTCTTTGTTGAGATTTAAAGAGCTTAAATTTATGTATTTTTTTAATTTATTCCCCATTTTTCAGTTACAAGAAATTTAATTTCGATGATGCTATTACATGGAGAAAAATCAAATCCTAAATAATTGTTACCTTCACAGGTAAACAAATATATTTAAAAAATTAACAGGAACCATGACTAACATACCTGGCTGTTTCTCTATGGCTGAAACACTAATGAAGTCCTGGCTATCTTGAGAATCTTTAGTAGGCAAGGTCCTGGAAATGTCTTTTATGTCATCCATACTCCTAGTGTTCAATGGTTTCACCTGAAATACACAGAATAGAAAATAAATAAGCCTTCTGGCAATATATCATCTTCTCACATTTATAGCACAGATGCACAGCCATCTATTCTTTATTGAGAAATTTATAAATGGAATATAATGTGATATCCCACTCTCCAAATTTTCTTGTCTTAAAAAAGCTCCACTATCTTATACGTGTGTAACATTTAGGTAGCCTGTCTGTTGCCAGCTAATTTAACTCTGTTTTTTCATGCTCCATAGGCATCTTGGACTTACATTGCCTGCTTTGTAGGATGTGCTGGAATCTTCGTTGCTTGATAAGACACTTCTAACCATCTCTTCCTGGTTGTATGAATGCTTTCGGCAAACTGGGTGCTCTGAGGGATGCCATAAGTGAGTTTCAAAAGATTTCCCTGTTGTGCGACATGGTAAAAGAAAGCCACAGAAAATTAGATGTAAGGGTGAAGGGGCAAAAAACAACAACAATTAAAAGCATTTACAGAGAAGGAGGGATGGCATGACAAAAAAAAATGGATAATATTGCCATTTGTTTTGCAAAGCATGCTTGTTTGCAAACATGTTTCAGCAGTGTTTCATGGGCAGTGAAATGAGAGCCATGCAGTTATGAGGATATTTTTTTCCCCTGAAAATGCCCAAAGAAAATATGAGTTCTTACCACCATCAAAAAAGAAGAGATTGGGAAAGGTTGAAAAGCACTTCTGGGCTTGATGTATAGCCCCAGCAGTAAGTAGAATGAGGTAGCTTATTTCAGGAGGCAGCTTTGGGGATTACATTATAGGTCAGCTAATGGTAATTATTTAGTGTATTATATTTTTTTTACCATTAGACTTTTAGAGAAATGCCACTCAATTTTTCCGTCTGAAAATTTCAATACACATTCAGCTTCTTGGGCTGAGAATATGATTGGTCAACGAAGATTTTAGCATTTGTATCGGGTTCCATTCAAGAAGGTCTGAACCTTAGTTTTTCTAAAGAGTAATGCATGCTCATTCATTTTGGGCTACAAATATAAAGAAGGATCCAGATTGTCCTGTCAGACCCTAAACTGAATGGCAAAGGGAGCTTTAAAGCAAAGCTACGTTCTCCCGGTCAAAACTGTTGATGCATGCCACGTTGTGAGGAACAAGCAAGGAAGGCCTTGATGCTTTTGTATTGGTATGGAGAACTAAAAATGCATTATCTTAACTTAGGTAGAGACATGTGGGGATGGTGTAGCGTCAAATAAACAAAACAAAAAAAGAGAACCCACCATGAGCCAATTGGTGCATGGTGTTGATACAAGCTAGGGAATCAGAAACCTGTACATGAGGAAGGTGTGAAGAGCACAGCGTGCGGCACAGGGAAACTGTCATGTTGAGACACATGCAGTAGCAGGTGCCTACCAGAAGCTGCTTTCAAAGCTTTTGTGGTCATTTTAAGATATGCCTCAGGATGTTCAGTGATTTCTACATCTGAAAAAAGAATAACGTCACCATTTGCTTTGCAAAAGAGTCTGTTCACTCTTCCTTTCCCACCATACAAGAATGTAGCATTACAGCAGCCCCAGATGGATCCTATTAAATAACTGTTAATTTAGCATTCTTTTTCCAAATAAAACTAGTGGTCAAAATGCCCTGAAGTATAAAGGCAGCAACTATTTAGTTACATGGCCTTATAAAAATACCCACCGTTCATCTCTTTTTGCTATTTTTTTTTAAAAAACTGTTAATTTTCCTAATAGTTCTAAGAAGAAAAGGCAAAAGAAGAAAAGGCCACTATGTATATAGATAAAAGTGATAAATAAATGGGCAAAAGCCCTCAATGGTTTCTTCTTTATTAGGTTTATGGTTTCTGTTTCCTGCAATGTTTACTGACATCAGAAAGACCACAAATACAAGGCTTTCAAACAATGATTGCAGCCAAGCTCTGATCAGGGAAAGCCACATTCATATTTTAAAAATGCCTTCTGAAATATTTTTTAAAAGCATATGCGGCAACTGCAAATACATTAAGGGAGAAGGATCACTTTCTCCTTAAGTAGTACATATATACAGTGTATCCTACCCAAATCACAGTATTTTCCACTTGATTTTGTACCTGGGAAGTCCATATGGGAAATAGGAAATCAGAACCTCTACGTTTGTGTGTGTGTGTGTGTGTGTGTGTGTGTGTTCACAGCATTGTTTTTTTTCTCCCAATTACTTCTTGCTTTCCCATCTACACATTTAAAGCTTTTCTGAATGTAATTTGTAAACTACTCCAAGTCACTGATAGTAAGAGGGCAGTGTGTAGATTAACAAAGAAAATAAATATGAACAAATTGAACAAAAAGGTATTGAGATAGAGAAAAGGTTCATTTTCCCCCTACATGTTTATCAGCATAACAAGTTCCCTGCTTTAAGTAACTAGCATATCAGGAAGGACTATACTAAATTTTTCACTTGGTTTTCAGCATGCAATGATGCTTTACCAACATAAGCACATTATTTTATAGCAGGTCTATTTGTCAATATTACGAAGCACAGTACAATATGACTAACAGTAGTTCTCCAGAGTCACAAATAAAAATATGTCAGATATAGTATACTGCCAAGCTGAGAACCTTTCTTCTCCGTCAAAAATATTGCACTGTCCAAAGTTATAGAGTGAAATTTTTCCATTCAGATATGGTCAATAAATATGTTCATTTCTCCATTCTTAATTTTTTCACTCTTATCCTAATTCTATCCCCTTTCCCCCCCTCATATATGAATTTTTGTTCTGCTGAGTGATTTTGTAGGCAATTTATGTGTTATAATGCATTTCTGTATGTTCAATCTATCTTTTTCTTCATATTCCCCCCTAATATCCAGATATGTATAGCTTTTTCATTGGAGAACACTATTATGGTGTAAACTTTAGCAGATGAATACTGACAAATGACTGCATTTCAGTTTTTGCACCGGCTTTCATAGGGTAAATTATTGGAATTATATTTTGAATTGCAATGTTGCATTCTAAGGCAGCCTAAACAAATTCATTTTTAATTTTTAGGTCTCAATAGCTTCCATTTTAAATTTTCATCTCGTTCTCTAATATATAAAAAGGGTATGACTGAATTTGAAGCACACCAAAGCTCAATTACCGTGGGTTCAAAATTAAAAGCTGGGTAATTGCTTTTGTGTATTTGCATTGTGTAACTCAGTGTTTTTCAACCTTTTTGTGCAAAGGCACACTTTTTTCGTGAAAAAAATCACGAGGCACACCACCATTAAAAAATGTTAAAATTTTTTAACTCTGTGCCTATATTCAATATAGGCGGGTGTTTTTCCCACGGCACACCTTACACTATGTCACGGCACACTAGTGTGCCG